AAGAGACTCAAAATTTACAACAAAAAAAAAATGGATTTTTTCCCGATAAGTAATCTAGTTTTTCTTTCGTTTGCTTCTGTTTTTACGATGCAAATGATACATATAGATCGTAATTACCTATCGATAAATGTTATCTCCATGTGAGTTTGAATATGAATATATTTTTATGTGATTCATAAAAAAATTATGATATTGTTAATTTTATTATCATTAATGTGTAAATATTATAAATTATTAAAATATATAAATTTTAATTAAAATATTCAAAACATATCAAAATTTTTACCTTTCAAAATGGGACTACCACAATTTTCTTTTACCAATATTTTTTAATCAAATTACGGTATATAAAATTAAAGTTAAATCAAGTTGGAATCGACAAGCTAAATTCAACTTTTACCTTCTCTAATCTTAGTTTAAGTGAATATTAAATACATGTTAAAATTCTGTTTACAAAAAATATAAAAAATATTTATTTTCTATATTTTTTCTCGTATTTACATTAAAATAAAAAACAAAAACTGCCCTGTAAAGTCCTTTGTAAATGGAGCTTTTAATTATTAATTTAGATAAATAAAATTAAAAATTATTTTTCTTAAATCTAGCAGAATTAATGTAGATTTAAACCTAAATAGAAATTTTAAAACAAAAAAAAAAAAGAAAAAAACTGAACAGAAACCAAAACAATATCTCACTAAATAACAATTAATATCCATAGCTTATTTTTTTCCACTTAATTTTTAAATATTTATCAGTAATCTATAAAAAAAAAAATTAAGAGATAGATGACGCTTCAAAAATATAAAAAAATTGTATGATAAAATAAAAAAACTTTGGAAGTGGTTCATGTACTAAAATACAATGTAATTATTATGATTATTGTGAATTATAATTTGGAAAAGAAATTGTAACTTCTAAAATTTGTAACAAATATTTGGAACATAAACAATAAACGTTTAGACGGTAAATAGGAGCATCATTTTGTATTGTCATCGTGTTGTAATGTACATGTATCTTGTTACAGTATTACACTACCCCAATACTACCTTCAGTTCCTGCCTCAATTGTCGAGAAGACAAGAAGCTGACTGCAGAAGCTTTCATCGTAAGCGACAATAAGCAAATATTGCAAGGCGCAGCAACAGGTACAAGTTATCTGGACTACCTTCTTACCAGTTAATAATGGAGTTAATATTTTCACAATGCAGTAAAAGATGCAAGCAAATATGAAGAAAAAGAAAGCAAAAGAAAATTTCAGAAGAACGCTCATCGTGGCATAGATTGGCCAACGTATTTGTACACGCCAGGTAAAGATTAATTTGAGTAAGAAAACAGCATTTGTGCTGTACTGCTTTGACATCCAACCATCACGTTGTTCTAACTGCATCACCAGATAAACTAGTTAAGCACTAAGCAAATGCACCTCAACATGAAGTCATAATTGTTAAATAATAAAATTGAGTGACTAATTCTTAAAAAGACTGAGCTAATAGGAAAGATCTCAGCTTGTTATTTATAGTGTTCTAATATCCCGGCGTATGGGTGCAATTGTATTTCGTAGGCCAAGAGAAATATGCAGAAAAACAAATGTAATGCTTAAATCAGGATATCACGTTACATTGTAATGTCAAATAAGAAAATTGAGCGAGCAGTTTTTTTAAACCTGCAACTACTATGAAAAAGTCTTACTATTCATGTTGCATTCTAACAGTAACGTACATGATTGAACACGCACAAAACATACAGAGATCAACAACCTACCTTTGCTTTGACCTCATGCTTCTAATGGTTCTGGTTCTAGATGGATCAGCTTTTGTATTTTTAATTTCACTCTTTTTAACTTGAGATTTGGAAGTCCCTGTAAATGGCAACACATCATAGTTACATACCATTTCACTGAGGCTATGAGATTTTACATGGTATGACCTACCTCTGGTTTTCACTTTCAGTGACTGTACTTCAGTGTCATCCGGATTTTCCTCCACCACCTCACTGAAAGTACAAGAGGAATCTTCTGAGCCAACAGATGGAGGCCTTGATTCACCATTCACTGACTTAATTTCCTCATTAATGGATTGATCAAGGACTTCGCCATCTGTAACATCTGCAAGGCACTAAATGTTAGATAATGACAACCATTTTGAATATTGATCCTAAAAATCTAGAATTCAAAAGGAAATAAGCAAAATGCCTGCACGTAAGAGATAAAGAGTAACAACCGATAACACCTTGATTAGCTGTTCTCAAGATATGGACTATGTTCTGAAAAACGAAAACAAAAGTCTTCTGAGTTCAAAAAGTTGTACTTTCTACCATTTTGGGAAATGGTTTTCAACAAAATTTCATTCCAACCATGTCCTTTGCAGATAACAAGTGAACAGTTAACTGCTAGCACCTATTCTCTACCGTGTTTGTTCTCACAGAAAAACAGTCATGGTTATTCAAACATTTTAACACTACATCTATTACCATTGCGAGAATATGCTTACCAAAAACATTAATTCATGTAAGTAATTTTCCTGAAGTTCCTGAAACGTTTGCCCTCTGCTATCCTAGACTGACTGAACATGGAGTCTTTATCATTTCCAAGAATTTTCATTTCTGTTTTCCATTGGCTCTCAATTTTATGGAACACAGATTGAGAAGTACATGAAAACATTAAGGAAATTCATAACCCCATGCCGATATTAGCTGTAACCAAATTATTTAATTTGAAAGAGAGAGAAGCTCATATCATACTTGTACTTGGTCCTTAAGATGGCATATGTAACCTTTTTTCAGGTTTGAGGATGGCAAAAATTCCCCAAGGGGCAATAATAGAGATAAAATTGACACCCAATTGGTTTTGCGGTAGGGGCTGGAATCCAGTTTCCCATTTAGGCCCCTAAAACAAGTTCTGCATGTTGATTTGTATCATTGTAGAGATGCGTCATTTTAGATATAGCGATTATCCATCACTACGTTAGATATTGTTAGAAATCAATAATGAAAATAAAACCAAAAACTAAGAGTCACAATCACGCTTTTCAAAGATAGTTGGAGCTTCCCACTATTAGGGATTTAGAAACTCTAGTCCAGAGGGGATTGATACTTGCATTCAAGGCACTGTCAACTTAAAAAGATCTTTACTGCTGGAGTGGAGAAGGGACAACTAATGTATAGTTCAACATGTCATGGCATAGGCTTGTCATGGTGCGACAGATCTTTTCTAAAACCATTTACCTTGTCTTTGGGATTTAACTTAGCCTGGCTTTATCTAGTTCCCTTACTGTTCTGTGCTACTACCAAATTAAGAGAGCACTAGATTTTTTAAGTTTCTGCCAGTACGTTATTTGTTTCATTGTTAATCAGCCTTGGATAAAGGTGAAAGCTCATTGCACATGGATTGACAATTAATATCTACATGCATTTATACAAGTATGTGTACCTAAATTAAATCATTCTCTGGTAGATATCTCCTTTGACACATTGTTACATTTTGTATTGTATACTAGGCGTTAAAAAATATAGTCCAAAAGATAGACAATAGGGAATAGTAAGTTTTAAAATTAGAAATCCTCATCCCCAAATGAGATGCTCAGAGTTAACAAAAGCTGTCCAAGTTGAAAATCCACATCTAAGTGGAGTATAATCAACTATTAATTAAAGGATGCTGCAAAGAAAATTAAAGAAAACGTGAAAATTCTCACCCCATATCAAGGAATCCTAACTAATTTTACAACTGACGAGTCTCATTAAACAATTTGATGAATCAAAATAAACCACATTGCACAATGCTATTGAAGGTTCCTTTTCTATCATGCCACATATATGATCCATGAAATTTGTTAAATTCTTTCTCCTAGTTAACAACCAAAGGTTGTTATTTTTTTACAAAAATATAAGCAAATTTAGCAAGATAATGATAACCGATAGGAAGGCATAAGTGTGAACTGTATACCAACCTTCTGTCACATCAGATTCTCCATTTTCTTGTCCAGCATTCTTAGTAGTCAACTTACCAACCTTATCCCGATGAAGTTCAGCATTTCTTGCAGTCACTTCTTGTTCCTTCCTTTCCATGTGAAACTTATTTAACTTCTCCTCAAACTCCTCAATGCAAACTTTAAGTTCCGGTTTTGAAAATTTCTTACTCTGAGGAAATTAAATGAATACATAAAACACTAGATTCAGCCTAATTAATGAAGGAATGCAAGACAAAAGAAAACTCAATACCTTGTTGATTATGCTGCGAAAATGATCCATCACAGAATCCTCTGATAAAGCATGCTCATAGACCTTGAATGATTCAACCAGCTTTTTCATTCCCTTTTCTGTGAAAGCTAACTGAGAAAGACAATAAGAAATATACTGCCATTGCCTGACATCTGCAGCAAAGGAGAGCCTTTGCAGTGAGAAAATAGTTTTGATCATCCAAAAAAGAAATATGTGATGCAGGAAGAAAAAGAGGTTCCCTAAAAGATTTAGGAATTTTTATTTTTGATATTTCTAGTTTCCTTTTTCATATTTGAGTTGGGCATCACTGTATGTCTTTAAATATTTTGAAGATATTATTGCTGATTTTTTATTTTTTTTAAAAAATGGTGGAAGTGTTACATGATTTTTTTTCAATCATGTAAATCCAGACAGCATATGCAACATTCTCTTTCCATGGTCTTCAGTGAACAATTCACGAAACAAGCCATGAAAAAATTGTAACATAAATTCTATTGGCATCTCAACTTCTGCTCTTGGAAGGCCAACTTCATAATCAAATGTATATATCAAAGTGTGATTTCATGGAATTCAAGATCATTAGCTGTTTTAGGATTCTATTCCCTTTTTGGTTAGGTTTTGTTTTCTAGCAAATAGCATTGACCTATTTTACACTATCCCGATTCATGAAAATCAAGAGACCTAGAGAAGCAGCACAGTCTAGTTACACTAATAATTTGAAGCAAAAGGTTAGGCAGAACCTATCAGCAGACGGTCTACTATCTATGAGTAATTTAAGAAAAAAATTTGAGGAATGTAGAAAAGAAACATACCTGTGACTCCACTAAACCTGTTGCAAAGCTTTTCAACCAGGGAATCCATTTGTTTGTCCTAGAGAATTTTAGAACATATAATGTAAAATATTTGTACAAGAAAATAACTATCCCAACCTAGTTAAGAAATCTATACCTTCTTGATGGAACCAATTAAGAATTGCATAATGTTACAGAAGGATTCCCTCTTCAAGTTTTGGTTGGACAACTGCCCTAGCATATCTGGAAGCAAATTATATATAGGATTGCTTCCTGCAGGAACAATTGAGAAAAGGATTATGAATTCATTTGATGCAAGAGAAAGCAATTGTCATATGTACTTATCACCAATTAAATATCACAATTCACCTTTCTTAGCCAACTCATGGAAAAACAGTTTAGCCAGATTTGAGATCCTCTCATCCTCATCCTCTACCCGTACAGCCATTTCATTAATATAACCTTTTACCTGACATGTTATGCCCACAGTCAGGCCCCAAAAATATTGTGACAACAAGGAAAAGAAACTGCAGCAGCTAACCAGGCATTCAGACCTTCATCATGTCATTTAATATCAGATGTGATAGGACCAGAACAGCATTCTTTCTGACAGAAATCGATGGATCCCGTAACCGAGCATACATGTTTTCAGTCCATGGTTCTAACAGATTAGGAAAGCGGACTGCCAAATCTCCAAGAGCAATGGTGCAATTGGAACGAACAACTTCTGATGGTGCATTCTCAACAACGGTGAAAAGAAGCTGGAGATTGGCATCACTGAAAACTCATATATTCAAAAGTTAAAGGCAGAGATTCTTGTTCCTCAATTACAGCAAAGAAGAAGAGGGAGAGGAAAGGAGAGAATCACAAAACCTCACCAGTAATTTGCATCAATAATCATAAATCGACACAAGGCCAGCATTGCACAAGCTTGTAGTTCTGGATGCTGAAATAATAAAAAATCATATAAATTACTAAAGTAGTTAGACAAAGAAAACAACAAAATTTTGAAGTAGATAAAAGCATAAATCCAAATCAGGAACTGCAAGGCAAAAAGTCCCCATTTTTCAGTCGAACAATCAGTATGATCTTTGAACATAACTGTTATCATTACCTCAACCATAAAGTACTCAATGTATCTCCCCTAGGATTTCTAGAAATAACATGGACTTCTCTTACATGGCTGAAGACAAACTGGACCAATTCCTTTAATATCATGTGGGGTCAAATACAATTTACAAAAGCTTTTAAAGGGAACAGAAAGAAGGCATGCACATCAAGAACGAAAATGCATGCCCTCATGAAGGAAGAAGAAGCACAAAACAAGGAGAACTGAAAATCTAACCTTTTGCATTAGAGTAAAATTTCTACAAAGCTTAGAGACAAAAGATGCAGAATCGCCAATCAAATTCTTCTCACTAGAGCCACCAGAAACAATTTCTTTTTCTGTCCTTTCAGCAAGCATATCAAGCACTGCATCTTCGGAAGCAGCAAGGCCCAGCTCAGCATTTATATTGTTATCCTACAACACATAACCAACCTAAAATGAATCGACTTATAGACAAGCTAGAGCCAAGAAATAAATAATATTAATAATTTATTTTATGGTGCAGTACCGAGTTTATATACCTTTGATGGGCAATCAATTGATGTGCCAGTGGCTTCCTGACAATCAGTAGCCATTTTATTTTTGAAATCTTTCTGTTTCTGGACCTTGCGGACACAGGATTCAATATATACCAATTGGTTCATAGATACATGACTTATAACAAATAGATATCTGCAAAGTTTTGCCACATGAACTGTTGTAAGTGTGCTAAGTCTATCATTCTTGCAGTCATCTTCCAATTCCTCCTGTCCCTTAGGATTAAATACAGAGTTCAGAGATTTTTTAACAAGATCAGCAGCTAAGACTTCTGGAGTTGGATGAATTGTATATATAGCCCCTATTGCTTTATCAGCAGCAGCATACCATATATTATCTGGAAGCCAAAAGCCAGTAATTAAGCTCTCCAAAATACTAAATATCCGGCTGCCACTACTTAGCAACACCTTTTTCCTGTCCTCCTCAGACAATCTCTGAATAGCCACGCTTGCTGTTCGAGCAAGCAAGGGATCTACTTTAGCCCAGCGTCCAAATCCAATATCAATTATATCTTGTATGTGTGAACCAAGAACCCCAGTGGAAGATTTTGCCGCCATGCAAAGAACAGATAAAGCACCACGACTTTGCTCAGCTGTCGTACCACTAACATTGAAGCAAAAGAAATCCCACAATGCAGATATCTACAAGGGAAATTACATGGCATATGACCCTAAACCAGTGACATAATATAATGATTGCAAGAAGTTTAACAACTAAATTTTTTATTTTTCAAAACAGTTTTTTTGAGTTGTCTTTTCTTTTTCCAAAGGCCTAATAAAACATACAGGTTGAGAACAGCCCGACAATCCACAATGAAGAGTTTGACTATCTAATGGTGGCTTGAATTCTGTACACCCATGCAAACCATGGATGAAGATGATCTGTCCAAAAATCTTACTTCAATCAACGTTCTATCAAGTTTATCTGAAGTGGCATTTATTAAGCTTATATAAATGGGAGGGAAAAGAAAACACGTTGGCTCAAACTATCAAGAAACCGATATTACCAACAATGAGAGAGAGAGCTTTATGAAAAAAGAATACACACCTTTTTGATAGAACATTTTGTCTTTTTTTCTGTTTAACCAACAAGCAACTTATCATACTGATATAGAATATAACAAGAGTGTGTAATTTCATAAAACTTCCTTCAACAAGCATCCTATTCAATGTGAATAACTGCTGAAATATCAGTCAGTTCTCCAAAAAGACACCTAGACATTCTTATCACAATTATCAGAACCATGATAAGTGATCACCTCCGTTGATGGAAACAAACAGTGGCATATAAAACGATATTGTCAATATTATATTGCAATCTTTATCACAAGTTCCTAGAGTATCAAGAATCACTCCCGGTAACTTGGGACAATCATTGTGAAATATTGTCCTCAAGAACTGCAGCTCTCTAACTAGTATTTATTAACACATGGAGTGCAATGTCTAAAAAAGTGTTTCATTCATATCGAATTATCACCCCTGGGGTCATTGAAGAATTAAGTTTTTCAATATTTTTCAAATTAAATGGAAAAAATTTTAAGTAGAAGTTAACCAGAGATAGAAAATGGAAGGAATAGGAAAGGAAACATACCACACTAGTAGATATATCACCTTTGGACACTAGAGCGTCAACAATAAACTCCAGTGCTGCTTGATCTCCTATGTTTGAATCTATGGAAAGATTCAAAAGATTCTTAGCAGTCTCTGCTGGATTTTTCCTTAAATAAATTGTAATAAATGCATTCTCCACAGCTTCATATATAGATTTGTCCTGAGAAAATACCTCAAAAGCCAGCAGAAATAGGATCAACATTGGACATGTACAAATAACTAGTTTCAAATGGCAACATAACCTTGATAAAAAGATCCACTTGCTTCTAGATATTCACATCCACACATTTAGCACCTTTACTTTAAAGACATGATAATTCATAAACACGACCTTACCAATGGCAACATTTTACGGAGGCAGGCCTCTGCACCATCAATTTGGAACTGTTTGCACCTCATCAATAAGAGGATTGTATTCTCAACATCAGTGGCAGAAGATGAAGCCATTAATTGTACAAGGGTTGGCATTGTAGTAGATATGCATTTTGAAAACCTCAAACCCGCCTCAAGTGATGCAACCAAGACCCTGGTCTGTTCCAAGTTACCAACATCTAGAACAGAATTATCCTTATAAAAAATCCTTTCTTCTATAGGAGGCAAACTATCAGATACACTATCCTGCTGCTGCTCAATTTGACCCCCTCCATTACATTGATCGTCATCAGACAGAAAACCATTTGGAACCGTTTCTGAGGGGATATTTGGTTCAAGCTCATTTAGCTTCTTCTGGTACTGCTCTAAGGTTGCTTCAAATGAAGATATTCGAAGTTGTGGACCGAATGGGTTGTGCTGCAGCATCATGATAAGCAAATTCAAAGCAGATTTTCTGACAATTGCACTTTTATCTTCCAATCTCCCGGCAGCAACTTCTGCAACCTGATTCCACAAGCCAATTGAAACAGAATGCTCTTCGCATAGTTCGGCCCATACCTGAAGGACGCGACTCCTCGTATAAGCTGAAACATCTCGACATCTTTCAAGTAAAATTTCCAGCATGGCTTGCTTAGTTCGAAGACGAACTGATGTGGAAGTCACATCGCCATCGACATCTTTAAATGCCTTTGCCACTAATTTTCCCAGAACCCCAACAAGGGCATTCCTCATCTTATAGGATTCGCCACCAAAATGTGCGATAACAAGTCCAATGTTAGTTGAGATCAGTTTTGGTAGCCGATCAGCAAGCTCAACCAAAAAGCGTCCGACATTGTCAGCCCCAACAGTATCTTTCACAAAGGCCTTTGGATTTGTCCTTCCTATATCTCTAATTAGAGTAATGGCGAGGGTTCCATCGGCATACTTCTTTTCAGCCCTAGCAACAGCATCAGCCATGTGGGTAATGACAAAGTCATATTTGTGAATTAGATGCATAATTGAAGCACATGACTGAGCGGTGTAGTGATATTTTGTAGCGCAAGCCCCAATAATACGAGATAGAGCATCTCTCGTATCAGAATCTTTGAGAAGTGCTGAATTCTCAAACATGACTGCTGTATTTCTACAAAAACCCAAATCAAAGAGATAAACTATGAATGAAATATAAAAAGTAATGGAAATACCAAGCTGAACAAAATTAATAGCAAGACCTACTTCAGAATGAAAGACAGGTAGCTCTCATCCAGGTCTGGTGACCCAAAGAGCAGCACAAGGTTGACTTCTAAAGAATTAGCGATCAAATTAAGTATCCTTCCTCTCTGTGGCTCCCAATCCCATGAGTTCATGGGCTGTTTCTTCCTACTGGTTGCTGTCACCTAAACCCCATATCGTAAAAGCTTTAGAATCGGCGATGTGTGAATATCAGGTCCAACAGCAAATAAACGAAATCAGGAGAGATAAGACATACCTTTGGGTATTTGTTTGAATTGATGCTGGACTCTTCGGCCAAGACAATATTGATGAGGAAGTAAGTGTATATCTTAAAAGCATTACGATGTGACATGACCCGGTCCAGCATCGGGAAGTCATTCTCTTCATCTTGAGAGATTCTAGAGAGTGAATCGACATTTGGAAGAAGCACGCTGAAATTGGATCTAAGGCTTTCTACTATATTCAGTTTACAAGCTGGAGTGAGATTAGAGAAACCCTTGACTAATGAATACACACGATCAAACACGTCTTGATCTTCGATGCAGAAGAGCTCCCCGTCTGAGAGGTCAAAAGATACACCTGCTTGGTGAAAAGCAAAAAGGAAAAAAGAGAAGCTGTGAGATTGTGGCGTCTGGTTTATAATTGCTGTAAAAGTGAAATTCAGAAATTTTAAGAGCAGAAACGACCTTTGACGAACTCTTCGAGTTCAGATGGACGAATCGAAGTAATGTCGATTGGTTTCAGAGCGCAAAGACGATTGTCTTCTCGCTCCTCTTCTAGGGCTTGCAGATTTTGCGGGAAAACAAATGGAGGAGCCATGTTCAATAGAAATGGAGAAGGGGAAAGGAGAGGAAGAGGGTCAGATAGGGGAGCGAGACTTCACCTTGACCCACTAGCAAATTTCATTTCAAATGGAACGGAAAAAAGAGAGAGCGGGAATAATGTTATAAACGAAGCAAAGTTTAATCGGGTCGGGCCGACGGGTCATGCCTTTATTTTATTTTATTTTTTTCTTTGTGGTTTTAAATAATAATGTTGGTTGGTTATTAAACTTAATAACCCAAATATAAATCACTCTTTAAAAATAAAACACACAAAATAGTAGAGAAACTTTTAAAAACTCTATTCTTAATTTTGATCTTTCTTTTTTTTTTTTTCTTGTATTTTCATTAAAATTTATCTTTTTTTTACATGCTGCAAAAGCTTCTTAACTGTCGTTCAAAAATTTATTTTAATTTAATAATTATTTTAACATCTACAATGAATTAAATTATTTTCTTATGTCAAATTATGTCTGGGACATAAGGATATTATGTCACTAGTGAATTGTAATTTATCTATTTATTTTTATTGTTAATAATTTAATTATAAAATAATTAATGATAAAGATAAGTATAACGTCCCACCCACAATTAACGATAAAGACTATAGTTTTTGAGTATTTTTGGAATTCTTACACTAATCTAAGCAAGTTTAATATATATATATATTTAAAAATTAAAAAAAAAAAGTAGATTATTATTAAATTAATCATCTAAAAAGAGAAAAACTTGTCACTAAATTGGCATTTTTATCTTTTTCCCATTTATTTCCCTCCTCCCAAACAGACCGTGACAGTGTAACCCCGGGCTGGATTCATAGCCCAGTGGGCCCAGAAACGAGCATGGCAATATTTTATTGGCTTAACCGAGATACCAGATTTTCAAGCAACCAAACGCCCCCACCAAAACCTCAAAGCAAAAATCATCACTCACCCACCACCGTAAGACCCGATTAAAAGATTTTTTCTCTCTTTGCTTTCAGGCTTTCGTATCTCCAGCTTGAAAATTTTCCAATCTCTTACCTTTCTTTCCGGGAAGGAATCATTGTCTTCATCCTCAAATGGATTCTCTTTAAATGCCTAGAAAGCCCATTGGGTCCTTATCAGGAGAAGAAAACAACAGGGAAATTCCAAGAGAGGAGCAGGGGGATGGCGATGCCATGGGGCATGGCTCTATGGTGGGCGGAGCTGGTATGGATCGCTCTGACTGGGTGGGTCTCTGCATGCTTGGCTGTGGCTGATGAGGTCGCCAGCTCTTTGAGAACTGGGGATATTGGTCCTTTTCATGTTGGCTGATTTGAGAATTTCTGTACACCTCCATTGAAGCCCTCCAGCTCTCTCTGGTTTGTCGCTACTGCTTTCATCGAAATTTCTACTGTTGATTCATGGTTGTCTTTTTTTTTTGTAATTCAATTATAGCTCGTGATTTTGAGTTCATCTCCTGAGATTGAAGTGTCTGCTTGTGTTATGTTATGTGGATTTTGGCTTTTGTTTGGTCTAACCAAATGATAAACGTTGACTTTGGCTTTGACTTGATGTTTATGTGTTAACTTGACAATCACTTTGAGTTTGAATAGAAAATCTTGTTCATGGAAAATGATCCATGGTTTTGATTTACCAATATATGATCTCTTTCTGGGACCTCTGTGATATTGTCAATCAGCAGCATAAATTTTTAGTTATGGGTTAGAACAAACTTGCAAGGCATAGAATTACCAGAATACCATCTACTGTTTAATGAACTGCCACAGCCTACAGCAACACCGGACTCTAGATGGTCATTGGGAGATCATAGTTGAATTAGCACGGTAGAGTCCCTACTGATGGATTTAGTTATGGGTATGTTTGCGTAGAATCAATAGATATATTTGGGTGTTTCTTGATTTCTCTTTCTTTATCTGTTTTCAATCTAATTTATGGGTTACTGAGAGAGAAAACAAATAATTTATGGGCTTACCGAGAGAGAAAGCAAATAATTTTTGGGCTTATTAAGAGAGAACACAACGATCTCTTAAGTAATAATCAATGCAACAAATTTCTTTCATATCCTTTTAGAGATCAGACATGAAAAAATTATTACATTAGAGAAGACAGAAGCAGTTTCTGGTGTTCCCAGGACTTAGGAACTGTCTATCTTTATCTTCATTCCTAGACTTAGAAACACAACCATATATAAACTGCCATAGACCACTATATAACTGCCAAGGTTGTTCAAAAATTACCGCAATACACACTCTGCCGGAATTGCCAAGAGAACATGTGGACATTGGAGCAAACAACTAGGACAGATAAATCTTCAACCACATACTCCTTCTTTCCTCTTTGATACATTTTCAGACTCTTAGGATTCCTAGCTTAGCACAAAGAATTCTACAGTATTACCAAAGACACTGTATTGTTCTTCATTCACTTTTTTAAAAGAAAAAGAAACCTATGTCTTCACATTGAAGTTAGAGCACATTAATTAGTAGCTTCCATTGTTCACATGGGGTGATTCTATTCAAGGGAATATTACTGTACATAGCAATATAGTGGCATTTGAATTAGCATGAAAAAATTTAAGCAGTAGAATTGCAAAATATATTACTGTTTGCATCAATAGCTTAGTCATTTGCTTGCTCTTTCCAATGGTAGATTTAACGGAACCTAAGTCAAGCATTCTATTGTCATCCTATTTGTTAATGATCTTGAGGAACAAAAACTAGAAACAAAGGTAGCTAATTCATCACCTTGTCTGGTTTGTTAGCAACAGACTTGTTCTTTGGCCAACGAGATATAACAACCTCCCACCCTGTTAACCCAAGGAAAAAAAGCCTCAAACATACTTCTTTTAAATTGCTTCTTTCAATAACTGTTTCCTTGCTTGTTGCTTGAATGAGTTGTTCTTGAGCTATATTTCTTTCCCAGTAGTTATTCATCTTCTTTATATCGGTGAAAATGGCCATTGAGCATCATCCATGCATATCTAGCTTTTTTGAGCTTTTCCTTCTAGTATTTGAAGTTCTACTCCATAATATTCAAAAGAGTTAAAGATCTACAGATTGTTTTTGTAGGTTGAGGAAGCTTTCCCCAACCCAATTTAAAAGAGAAAACAAATCTTTACACTTTCACTGGGTCAAGTGATATTCCACCCATAGAATTGTAATATTCATTTGCAAATTTATACTTTGAACCAAGACTATATAACTAGTGATCCAGAAGACTTTATTATTGCAGTTACATAGCGCTAAGCATCAAGATCCTTTTCTCTTTCCCTTCAAAAATATGTTCTGATATTAGGAGTTGCTTCCTCAATGCATATCTGCACATTTTTCATGGGTGAAAGAGCACAGCCACTGTTTATATAGTCTTTCTCTGTTTATATTGCTCTACTCTAGACTATTAACATGACAGCTTTGTTACTTTTTCATGTCACAGAAGATGAAACTAAGCACAAAAAGGCGGGTATTAGCGGATGGAGCTCTGAACCCAGATTTTTTTCTAGGAAATTGATGTTGTCCACCAATTATACAAAAACTGATTCCTCTGTTCTAGTCTGAAGTATATTGTTAGTAAATTGCAGCTTGCCAAACAAAGACTACTGAAGGAAACTGTGATATAATTTCCACCGTGTTGTAGAGCATAGTATGACCATGTTGTAAAGCAGAGAAATTTTGCAATGTTCATTTGGTTTGAACACTTGTTTTTCAGTGGAGCTTTTTTTGTTTCTTATTGTGGATTCTCTATGAATCTCGATTAAGATATGGTTTTAGAACAATTTCCCTGCAAGTAAATTCAATCACAACATCAAGTGGATAAAATGTATCCAAAGCAATATATTGCTGAAATAGACAAAAGAGTTTTACATGTGGTTTTTCAATTGTTTATTATTTACATTGCATTTACTACAACAATATATCCATATGATAATATCATTTAGTTTATCAATTTTAATTATTTATATAGAGAAATTAATTATAATTTATAAACGATGAATTCATTATACTTGTTTATTTTTTTTAAATTTCATAACTATATATTTGAATTGAGAAAATAAGCAAGTTAAATTAAATATAAAATTGATTTTAAATTAAAATGATATTTTCTTTTAAATTTTATCTTATTTAATTAAATCTTTTTATTTGGTGTAATTAAAATTTTATAAGTTATCTAGTTCGTTAATTTTATATATGAGTTTAAATTATGTTGAGAAATTTATATTAATAGATTACATCTGATTAGATTCAAAATCATACTAATATGAATTTAAATCGTGCGAGGGATTACTTATTCGATAAATTTTTATCTTTTTTGTAACACTCCTAAGTGTTTCATGAACATCATTCCACCAGTGCTTCATTCATTTCTATCCACGAACACATCCAAGACCATAAGTTCAGTATACATGTAACTCATTGGGTTTACCTAAATTAATTTTAGTACTTCCACTTTACAACTCACTATTATAAAGTAATAAATAGAACAAAAAGAAAAAATTCTTAACTAGTACAGAGACGTATATGAGTGAACATCCAGTGTAAATCAACGTATGACTATTATGCTGTTAACTCGCTTTCTTTAAGTATTGTCCCATTGCCTGAAGATTTTAACTCCACTTCACGTTTTATTGCATCTGCAA